ATTGACTACACCCACTCCACAACAACCACTCAAAAAGAACCAACAAAAACTCGAACACATGAATCCATGTATCGAGGTTTTAACTTCGGTCAAAACTCTTGTTTGCACAATCTATTTATATCATTTTTGTAACCAATATTTTTAAAAATTTTTTTTATTCACACACTCTACTTTTCAAAACTTGTGAAAAACTCAATATTTTAACAAGTTATCGAGACACGATTAAAAACACATTATGTAGCACCCAAAAATTGATGCGGCACTATATAATGGTAGTAATCTAATGTGGATCTTTTTTTTTTTTATGATGTGACTTATTTTCTGCACATGTGGATATCATTTGTACTGTAAAACCCACTGCATGTACCGCATGGAGGGACTCAAATCCAGGTTGTCGCTTTTGGGTTCCTTGTGGAACCCAACCTCTATGGAAGAGCAATCTTTTAATTCACTTGCAAGAAAATTTAAGAACCCTTCAAATAATCAAATCATTATTCTATCAAAACCAGAAAGAATAACAAAAAAAAAAAGGCAAAAAAAAGGCCAAAAAAAGGTACAAACTGGGTTCGACGAGGAACCCAGCTCCTCACGATGGAACCCAGTTCTAGGTTTCTCGTTGTGAGGAACCCATTGAGTTACTCGACAAGGAACACAGAGTCGCTTTTGGGTTCCTTGTGGAACCCAGCCTCCATGGAAGAACAATCTCTTAATTTCACTTGCAAGAAAATTTAAGAACCCGTCAAAGAATTAATTCACTTGCAAAAAAATTTAAGAATCCATCAAAGAATCAAATCATCGTCTTATTATTCTATCAAAACTAGAAAGAATTATAGAAAAGAAAGGCTAAAAAAAGGTACAAACTGGATTCGACGAGGAACCCAGATCGGGTTCCTCGTCGTGAGGAACCCAGATCGGGTTCCTCGTCGTGAGGAACCCAGATCGGGTTCCTCGTCGTGAGGAACCCAGATCAGGTTCCTCATCGTGAGGAATCTAATTGGGTTCCTCGTG